GAGAGAGAGAGAGAGAGAGAGAGAGAGAGAGAGAAACAAACAAACCACAAAGTCTGCTCTAGGGATAAAGCAGCAAGAAATAACATAAAAAGCTATAAAAGATAAAGAAGAAGAAGAGGAGGAGGAGGTGTTTGGATTTGATATCCCACTTTATCACTACCCTAAGGAGTCTCAAAGTGGCTAACAATCTCCTTTCCCTTCCTCCCCCACAATGAACACTCTGTGAGGTGAGTGAGGCTGAGAGACTTCAGAGAAGTGTGACTGGCCCAAGGTCACCCAGCAGCTGCATGTGGAGGAGCGGAGACGTGAACCCGGTTCACCAGATTGTGAGTCCATTGCTTTTAACCACTACACCACACTGGGTTTCCGTGTGGTAAAGGATTACTAAGGTGGATACTTTGCTTTATTGCTAGACTTGGGCACCAAGCAGATCACCCACCCACCCAGAAAAGATTGCTTATGCCCAGGGGTGGCATGTTCTGTTTCTCCCCTGCCTCCTCCCTTAATTGGGTGGTGTGGCTGGCCCCCAAATTATTGTCACCTGAGAAGGGGTACACTGGGAAGACTAAACTCTCAAAAGGGGTACGTGATTATTATAAGTTTGAGGAACATGGTTCTAAGCAAATGCTACATGGAATTTAGTTCAAAATGAGAGAGGGAGTTACTGGTCCTGCCTTTTTTAAAACCTAAAACATGCTACCTTGGTAATAGGACCATGCCTTCATGCCTCCAGGTCCCTGAGTCAATGAGAGGCAGGGAAGTCATGAATGACATAATGAACAGAACAGAAATACTCAGAAATTAACTAAGAATCCTAGAAGGGCAGGCAGAATTTATTCAGAGTTGCTTACATATGCATGAAGGACAGGATTAAGCTAAGGAAAAAGCAGCATATATGTGTATCTAGTAACACTGAATACTTTCTAACTTTTCTAACTTCAAAACATTTGGGGAGTTTGTTGTTGTTGTTTAGTTGTTTAGTCATGTCCGACTCTTCGTGACCCCATGGACCAGAGCACTCCAGGCACTCCTGTCTTCCACTGCCTCCCACAGTTTGGTCAAACTCATGTTCGTAGCTTCGAGAACACTGTCCAACCATCTTGTCCTCTGTCGTCCCCTTCTCCTTGTGCCCTCCATCTTTCCCAACATCAGGGTCTTTTCCAGGGAGTCTTCTCTTCTCATGAGGTGGCCAAAGTATTGGAGCCTCAGCTTCATGATCTGTCCTTCCAGTGAGCACTCAGGGCTGATTAAGAATAGATAAGTTTGATCTTCTTGCAGTCTATGGGGACTTCAGGGCACCATAAAGCTGACCAACAGCTGGCCAAGAGCATCCTGTGATATTTTCAGACTTCAGCACCCTTGGTCATCCTGAAAGGGGGGGAAAAACCACCTGCTTTGGTTATCTGCATGTTTCATTATTTCTTCTGCCCTGTCACTTCTGCCAAGGATGTTTACAAAGCAAATCGTAGCTTGCTTCAGCTACTCTCAGTCAAGAAAGCACAAAAAGAAGGATTATCTCATTTATTTACAAACATCTAAATAGCAGGGCAATTATTAAGATGGATTGAGTTTTCACCTGCAGCTTCATTTTCCTTCTGAAGTTTTAATAATGCAGATCTTCCTGCTTTCGAAAACTACTTTAATGAATTGATTCGAGGCAAAGATGAAAAGACGTTACCTTGCGTTGGGAACTTGCAGTACACGCTGGTTGTCAGCTTACGGAGATGATGTTCTTGTTCTTTATGATTAGCTACTGCAGGAGGCAAGAGCTATATCTCTATATAGGGCAACCCTCTTTATTCCCAACCTCTAGGTATTAATATCACCAAAGGAATGCCTATTAGGTGCAATTCAAACTGCAGGTGGGTGCAAGAGAGAGAAAGGAAAGCCTCACCAATTACACCAGAAACATGTGCACCATAAGGAGTCATTTTAGATAACAATTTACATCTATAAGAGTATCAGCTCGATGCAGCATGATATACACGTATAAAGAACATGGGCACACATAACCAATAAAAAGCATGTCACCCATACTTCCAGTTATCATACATAGTACCATTGAGCCCTAAATATACTTATCCATCCATATACTTTTATGTTCAGCTGATGATCCATTTGCCTGTTTTGCTTTTCTCATTAGCATATATGCCCAAGGTGAAATCCATTCTCCAATGGTACAGACAAAATTGTACTATCCATGCATAAGTAGGAGGTGTCAACTGGCTCAGGGGAACTTTTTCAAAGGATGCCCTGAAAGCTGCAGCTGGTGCAGAACACTGCCGCCTGGATGATATATGGGACAGCGAGGGATATAAAACCGTATCACCCTGATCATCCTTAACACTCTGCACTGGTGGGCCCCAATTCTTAAATGTAACATGTAGTTTTTAGTATCAGTGGGGTTTCCTTCTGAGTAACATAAGAAGCTCTGCCTTATATCAGGTCAAGCTATTTGTGCCTCCAGGTCTGCACTGTGTACTCTAAGCAGTAGTAAGTACAGTGATACCTCGGGTTACATGCGCTCCAGGTTACATACGTTTCAGGTTACAGACTTCGCTAACCCAAAAATATTACCTTGGGTTAAGAACTTTGCTTCAGGATGAGAACAAAAACCGTGCAGCGGCGGCGCAACAGCAGTGGGAGGCCCCATTAGCTAAAGTGGTGCTTCAGGTTAAGAACAGTTTCAGGTTAAGAACAGACCTCCAGAACGAATTAAGTTCTTAACCCGAGGTACCACTGTACAGTTAGGGCATTGTGCACTCTTGGGGTAATGGCAGTGGCTCTTAGGGTATTAGGCAAAGGTCATTCCCAAAACCTGTTTCCAGATTCTTTTAACTGGACTTGGCAGTGAGAGGATTCAAAACCACGCAGGCTCAAGAAATACATATATGCTGTAACTAGGTCTTATTCATGAATTTTGCAAAGTGCGGCTTACGATTGTGTCTGTGCGCTTGTGCGTTTGTGTATGCATTTCAGTTTTAGGTCTTTAAAATGTTTTGTCTTTTTTGAAAAAAGTGTTTGCTATCTATGTTCTCAAGGACGGAAATGGGAAAGTGTCTCCCCCCATCCTTGTGTTTTCAAAACAGCCATAGAGATAATTTGATCTGCAGTGGGTGCAATTATCGAGAAAACAAACAGCAATTTGAATAGCAGCACTGATCTACAGGGGAAACCGATCATCATATTAGAAGTGATGTGCAATGAGAAAAAATAATGCTTTTGTGGGTTTTCTTTCTGCTTCATGATGAAGCAGGCACAAAAGGATCATTCTGTAATTTTTAAAATGCTTTTATAAATACCAGGTCATGATTCCTCTCTTCCTCTTTTTTCTTCTTCGCAGACAGGAAAATTACAGACAGTAAAAGAAGAGAATGTGAAGCCATTGATAGAGGAAGGCTTTCTAATCAGGCACTTAAAATAAAACCCTGCACGTTCATTAAATAGGATGAGTTGCCTCAGAGTTGATAACTGTTTTCTTTCATCCGAAAAGGATATGGGTGCAAAAAGCTCTTACTTTTGCAAATATCCCTACAAGCGAGGAAGATACCATTTGTAAATCCTTGTTGTTTTCTAAGGTGGGAAAACCCAGCTTTAATCCTAATGATAAATCGTCAATAAAAACTACCTTAACACAGAGATATTTTTTTCAGTGCAAGTCTTCCAGCAGAGGTTGCTTGAAATAACTATTTCCACTATTATTATTATCATTTGTTAAATGTATATACCACCATTCACCCAAAGAACACATGGCAGTTTACAGTATAAAAACACAAAATATATAATACAAAACACATAATAGCAATAACAAAAACAAAAAAGAACCCTGCACAGACACATTTAAAAGGCCGTAGATTGTTTAATCAGCCCTAGGCCTGGTTGAAGAGGAATGTTTTTCCTGGTGTCTCAGTTTCATTTGGGGAGTTAGCAATGGTGTTTCATCTTAATACCTCCTCAGGTATTAAGTAATAAGTAAACAAGTGTGGAATGAGCACACTAGCTCCTCTGTTCCAGTCAGTGTTCCCACCACATTCATTGAGACATGCCTGACCCAGGATGTTTGCCACTTCAGGCCTCCTCCACACATGCCCACTGCCACTGCTTCCTCCGCACCCACCCACAGTCCCCTTGTCACCACCTCTTCCTCTGTAGACACAACCTGTGGAGGCAGAGGAGGCAAGTGGACACAAAGGAGGCAGAGGCAGGGAAGTGTGGAGGGAATTGTGGGTGGTGGCGGGCAGACGTGGAGGAGGCCAGTTTTGCTGCCTGAGGCAACTACATCACCTTGCCAAATGGGCTGGCCGGCCCTGGTTAGAAGACAATCTTCTGAAGCCTTCACAAGTATGGGGGACTCCCCATTCCAGAAGAGCACCCTCCATCTTGTATAGAGTCACTGGAGAGGCAACAGAGCAAGTTGTCAATTGCGTTTGTCTGACCTACTGAACCCTCCTTGAATCCCCTGGCGTTAAAAAGGTGCTAGGTGAAGGGGTGTCAGCTAAAAACCGTTTCTTGGTAATGTGAATCAATTAACATGAGGAATGAAAATTTCATATTAGCATAAGCCTTCCAGAGTGGTTTTTAACAAATCTTGCCTCTGGCAAGATTCCGTCTAATTTGTAAGATATTGATTGGCTGATGTGACCAGAAAGTCAGGGGATAATGTTTGCCTAGCTGACCTTTCAGGGGGGAAAAAGGCTTCTGGAGATATCTGGAGAAAGTTAACAAATTATTAAAGACAGTATTCAGTTCTCTCCAAAACTTGCTTTTCCTTTGATATTTGAAGGAATAAATGATGACATTAAATCCAAAAATACACTTAGAATCATAGAATCATATAATCATAGAGTTGGAAGAGACCACAAGGGCCATCGAGTCCAACCCCCTGCCAAGCAGGAAACACCATCAGAGCACTCCTGACATATGGTTGTCAAGCCTCTGCTTAAAGACCTCCAAAGAAGGAGACTCCACCACACTCCTTGGCAGCAAATTCCACTGTTGAACAGCTCTCACTGTCAGGAAGTTCTAATCTATCTATCTATCTATCTATCTATCTATCTATCTTTCTATCTATCTATCTATCTATCTATCTATCATCTCTACTATCTATCATCTATATCTATCTATCTATCTATCTATATCTATCTATCTATCATCTATATCTATCTATCTATCTATCTATCTATCTATCTATCTATCTATATCTATCTATCTATCATCTATCTATCTATCTATCTATCATCTATCTATCATCCATCTATCTATCTATCTATCTATCTATCTATCTATCTATCTAATCTATCTATCTATCTATCTATCTATCTATCTATCTATGAGCTATTAAAAGCATACAGATCATTATAGTACAAACAGCCATTTCATATACTTTTTCTTTAAAAGGGGGGGAAAGGCATCTGGGAATTTCCAGCGGGTGAAAACCAAAAACCCATTGGCATAAAGTTTTCACCTGCTGGAGAAAGGACAACAAGGAGGGAGCCAGTCTAACATCTCTTGGGAGGGAGTTCTAGAGACTGAGAGCGGCCACCAAGAAGACCTGCTCCTGCATCCCCAACAAGTGTGCCTTTTCATATGAATTTGCTGCTATTGGCACCACTGCCTCCTAAAAGTAGCACAGTCAGAGTGTGTAAGTAGGGTGTATGTCCCCTGAAGAGAACCATCCATCTGAGAAGGGGTGCAAGAGTTCGCATCATTGCTCACATTCCAGGATCTAGATACCATCAGTCATAAATCTTATCCCCAGGTGTACCCCATGATGGTGGATAAAACTGAAAAACATAAAGAGTCTGTTACCTTGAACTACGATTCAGTGCTTAAAATCACACCAGTCTGAATGATGATGATGATCATCATCATCATCATTTTGTTTGTATACTGTCATATGCCCGTAGATTTCAGGGCAGTTCACAACATAAAATTACAATATAAAAAACACAATATATATATAATAAAAATAGGAACAAAAAACAAACCTAGCTTGGCATAAGGTGTCCCATCACTTTACTCAGTTCCAGACAATACACAGTTTCACAGTCTCACTTCTTTATTGGTACGGCAGGCATAAAAATGGTTTACATTTCATGGTTGCTTTGAGGATGGTTGAACTATAGTTTGTCTCCTAAATGTATACTATAAATGCTAGTAATGTGCTTTCTTGAAATATTTCTAGTGCGCAAAAAATAATAATGAAATAGGAGTATATGCCATCATATTCCAGTCCCCTATCATGAAATTACACTGGTTTGGACAACTCTGCCCGTTACATTCTGCCCTGGGTAAGAAGTAATTATATATATCTTTATTTGGCATAGATATTGGACTGTCCATCTGCTAAAGAATTTTATCCTAAAGTACACTTTTGTTTTACAATTTTTGGTGTACATTTTCAGCTGAGAACTGTATTGTGAAATTTAGGGAAGTGCAAAACCTGAAAGATAAGGAAGTTGCTATATTCTGTTACAGTTTATTTATAAACCGCTTTTATGTTCAGACCCATGTTCGGGTCAAGAAGGTCCAATATCAGGTCAGTTTGCTTAAAAATGCAAAACAGGTGTAAATCACCCTGTGTCCTTGGTCCATGCTATAAGGAAAGGACCCCTGGATGGCTAAGTCCAGTCAAAGGTGACTATGGGGTTGCGGTGCTCATCTTGCTTTCAGGCCGAGGGAGCTGGTGTTTGTCCACAGACAGCTTTCCGAGTCATGTGACCAGCACGACTAAACTGCTTCTGGTGCAACGGAACACCATGACAGAAACCAGAGTGCACAGAAAACACCGTTTACCTTCCCACCACAGTAGTACCTATTTATCTACTTGCACTGGTGTGATTTCGAACTGCTAGGTTGGCAGGAGCTGGGACAGAGCAACGGGAGCTCACTCCGATGCGGGGATTCGAACCACTGACCTTCTGATCGGCAAGCCCAAGAGGCTCAGTGGTTTAGATCACATAACGGAGGCCATGCCACTGCTCCCAAAAAATGGTCCGTCACGAAGGCTGAGTCAATTTTAGGTAGTGAAGAAGCATCCTCCTGGAAAACTCCTTCCCCAGTCCACTTGTACAGTTTTGCTTAAAGGTTGCAGTTATGCATAGCACAGGATGTTCCCAGCACCAAGCGAAGTCTGACTTGATCTTAACGGCCACTGAGGGACTGACATCCTGTAGTTGTCGAACTGGGAGCGCAGTGTGCAGCCACTGCTTCTCGATGAGGTCTCTTGAAATGTATCTCACGCTGGTTGGGATCTTACGGCTTGTTAGAGATGATTAATTCTTAATGACCCCAAGAGCTGCCGGAAAGCGGGCAGTGACAAAGCGGTGGGAGACTCACGCCACAGATGTGCTGACACGGCACATTTGCTCGTGACACACAGGCTCTTCCGGCATCCTTTCAAGGCAATGGTGGTTTACCCAAATCCTCACAAGTCACCCGTTCAAGAAATAGCGGATCTTCTCACTAGCGGTGTACAGGTTACCCAGATAAAATTGTCATCATCTCTATATTTGTATACTAAACACTGCACAGCTCCACATGCATTATCTCATCATAATTCTTACATTGGAACATTGCTTAGCTGTCAATCCACTTTTGCCCATTTTGAATTAGACTGGAGCAAATTGGGCCTGTCCAGGGGTTTTTGCCTACCTCATAGCAACTGTTACAACTTGTTTGCTCCCATCAGTGCTACTTTTTCCTAGAAAATGAGGTGCCAGAACTCACCACGAACACCTCCCTTGTTCTCTTATAATGGCAATGGTGCCCACCTGAGAGGGGCCAGAACTGAATTCTGGTGAGTTCTGGCTGAACTTTTTTCCCAGGGAAAGTGCGGGGACCAAAGAACAACAGCAACAGACAGTCATGGACATGGAAATCCCAGACTTTTGCCTTGAAAGTGCAGAGCAAAGCTAAGTGTGGATGATCCCTTAGGGCAGAGCTTTCTGAATTGTGTGTCATGACACATTAGCGTGTTGGTTGCAGTGTGTAGGTGTGTCATGCGAATGTTCCCCTCGCTCCTCCTGGGGCTGGAAAGGGGTTAGTTTAACCTCTGATTTGCTAGTAAAACTGAATTGCTTTGTCGTGAAAAGGTCCATGTCTAAAAAGTGTGTCATCGGCATGAAAAGTGGGGAAAGCTCTGCCTCAGAACACCAAACATGTCATGGGTTTTGAAGAGGCTCAAACTCAGGACCAAAGGGAGAAAGGCACACTAAGAGGAAGGCACGCTTGGCAAACCCTCACCATGATCAACTCCTGCCTGGAAACCAATGTCCCCACTGTAGAAGGACATGTGGATCCAGAATTGGCCTCCACAGTCACTTACGGACTCACTGTTAAGACCATGTTCATGGAAGACAATCTTACTCGGCTACGAGTGATTGCCAAAGAAGAAGAGAGACTACTCTTTGCTAGTTATACTACATGACATGTATGACTAACACTGCAGTCAGAAAAGAAAACGGATAGAACAGCTATATGTCAGTAATAAGGTTGCTGGCAGATATCTTTCAGTACTTGATGGTGGCAAAACCATGGAAACATGCATGCAACAAAGCTTTTACATTGTGGTATAGTCAATACAATTATGTGCATTAGTGGCTGGCATCTTCCTAAAGAAATCATTTCACATTAGTTTCCAGGGATGCCAACTTGAATAAAATATTGTGGGGGCCCAGGTTGGCCCTGCCCCACAGAATTGATCACATGACACACACACCATTTGGATGAGAATGCCCATTAACTTTGTGGGGGCCTGGCCCCATCAAATATTTTATTGTGGGGACCGAAGCCCCCACACCCCCTAAGAGTTGGCTCCTATGCAAGTTTCCATTTTTGACTGAAAGATGTGAACAAGACCACAATATACAAAACTGCTTAATCCCATATACATCAATTCCATTGCTTCAGTGATGCTTTGGATTTTCTCTATGCAACTTGCTGCAGGGCAACATTGTCTTTTGGAATTGCTACCAGTTTATTCTTATTCCACTGTTAATCTTGTTTTGGTGGTGGTGGTGGGTTTGGAGTGGGGGGGGCTGCCATAATTTTCATTTCATTTTCATTTCGTTTATGAAATGCTGCTTTTCACTTGCACAAAGCAGCGTCCATACAATAAATAGCAACATCACAATTACAAAATAAATAATATAAAATAATTAATGAATTGCCCACAAAACAATTACAGATCATCACTAAAACAACCACCTTCTATAAAACACTATTAACAAAACACTGTTAAAAGTAGGCTAAACAGCACAAGACGAGCCATATTATAAAATTCACAAAGCATTGCAGCACTCATATTCCACAAAACAGTATTAGCAGCATTAACAAACTAGCAACCAAAAACAAACTCAGCCCTGTGAAATTCGCATTTGAATTCTCTGCCCATCCCCTACCTCCTCCTTCTCTCATCGCCTACAGACAAGGAGCCAAGAGAGTACCCCCACTGGAGTAAGGCAGAAGATGTATTTTACTACCAACCATCTAATCTTTCTAATAACTTTTCCTATCAGGTAGACAGAAAAGATCAGTTAAAAAAAAAAATCAGCCCAGGCGAACAGTACATCATTAGCTCACTGTGATAGCCTTTGTGTCTGACAAGATGCTTGTAATAAGTGAATGCTTATCAATGATCAACTGGATGAAGGAAAGTGGTGATGAGCCCAATGAATGGAGGGCAGCTTCTTTAGCAGTAGGAAAAGGGATTTCAATCCTTTCCCCCATTGGGCCCATTATGTAGATAAGTCACACAGAATGCTCATCATTTCGTGGGCCTCGTTTCCTGGCTGGGGCTCATATTGCTGCTTTCTGCTCTGACATATTGCTGTCTTGTGATAAAGCTGCCAACCGGATCTTATATTATCTCCCCGTTCTACACCGTCTTCTCATCGGGATTTAGATTTCAGGACCGTTATTTTTTCCTAACCAACATGTGTGTGTGTGTGTGTGTGTGTGTGTTTCTAAATTCAGTGCCTATTTTCTCCTTGCATCCATGCATTCTGCTCTTTTCTTGAGCTTTTTCGTGATTTGGAAATGGATGTATTTTGTGTTCTCTGCTGCTTTGTTCCAAAATTTTTGCAGTTGCCCTTTTTAAAAGAAAATGACAGAAGTATTTAAACGAGCATTAAAAATATTGCCTAATATGGATCCCATAGAGGTTATAGAAATGCTACATAAAAATAAAATACAAGGTCAAAAAAAATTTCCGTGTGGTGCTAAAGAGCTCCATTTTTTTTCTTTCAGGAAGAAGAAGGACATTAATTGTTCATTCTGTTCTTGGATACACACAAGACGAAAAGGAAGGAAGGAAGGAAGGAAGGAAGGAAGGAAGGAAGGGTTAAAACTGTAGGAAGGCAAATTTAGGTCATATTATAAATATAGCTTGGCAATGAAACAAGTGTCTTCCTAGTATTATGGAATGCTCTTCCTTTGAGATTTTCAGTATATATATATATATTTTTAAATGATTTTTATTAAAATTTCAGTAAAAGATTAAACAGAAAAACATAGAAAAGAAATACACAAATACACAATACATAATCCAAAGAAGAATAAAAAACACAGAAAACAAAAAACAAATAAAAAGAAACAGAACAATTAAAAACAATATCACCTTTTCATTTCCGTTTTTAAATTTACTTATTTTCTGGACCTCCTCATACCTCCCTCTTTTGTATTCCAGTCCAAATTGTTTGTCCAGCAATTTCTTTTCCACTTTTTTAATCCCAATCTTTAATCTTAATATAATATAGCATTAAAATTTTACCTCTTAAATACCAAATTTCTATTTCCTTCAACTTCTTTAATCCTAATCTTTAATCTTAGTCTATCTATAACTTTGAATCCTGTACAGCTGGAAACCACTTATTTTTAATCCAACATCACTCTAACATTCTTTAATTTTGCAGTGTTTCTGTAGATAATCTTTGAATTTCTTCCAATCTTCCTCCACCGACTCTTCTCCCTGGTCACGGATTCTGCCAGTCATTTCCGCCAGTTCCATATAGTCCATCAGTTTCATCTGCCATTCCTCCAGCGTGGGAAGTTCTTGTGTCTTCCAATACTTTGCGATGAGTATTCTTGCTGCTGTTGTTGCATACATAAAGAAAGTTCTATCCTTTTTTATCACCGTTTGGCCGACCATGCCCAGGAGAAAGGCCTCTGGTTTCTTGGGGAAGGTATATTTAAATACCTTTTTTAATTCATTATATATCATTTCCCAGAAAGCCTTAATCTTTGGGCACGTCCACCAAAGGTGAAAAAATGTACCTTCAGTTTCTTTACATTTCCAACATTTGTTATCGGGCAAATGATAGATTTTTGCAAGCTTGACCGGGGTTATGTACCACCTGTATATCATTTTCATAATATTCTCTCTTAAGGCATTACATGCCGTAAATTTCATACCAGTGGTCCACAACTGTTCCCAGTCAGCAAACATAATGTTATGTCCAACGTCTTGTGCCCTGTTAATCATAGCCGATTTTACCGTTTCATCCTGAGTGTTCCATTTCAGCAGCAAGTTATACATTCTTGATAGATTCTTAGTTTTGAGTACTAACAGTTCAGTTTCTAGTTTTGATTTTTCCACCTGGAAGCCAATTTTCTTGTCCAATTTAAATGCCTCCATTATCTGAAAATAATGAAGCCAGTCTCGCACTTTGTTTTTTAGTTTTTCAAAACTCTGCAATTTCAGTCTATCTCCATCTTGTTCCAAAATTTCCCAATATTTCGGCCATTTGACCTCCATATTGAGCTTTTTCAAGGCTTTCACTTCCATTGGTGACAGCCACCTTGGGGTTTTATTTTCAGAGATTTTCAGTATAAGGCTGGACAAGCATTTGTCGAAATGCTCATTGCATCAGAATTGTTGTTGCTTTGTTGTCATTGTTATCATACTATTACCAACCACCCTTCACTTTGAGGTCCCAGAGTGGGTTAAAAATGCAATGCTAAAAGCAGTTAAAACAGATTAAAATCAAGAAAACAACATAGGTCCAAAAATACAGAGAAGCTGCCGCAGAGAATGCCCCTTCCTGTGTAAACACTTCATCTCTTCCAGTTTTGTGTTTCTGTTATTCCATTTTCTAATCAGGAAGTCTTGCCCACCTGTGGAAAAGCCATGTATCAATTCCCACTCTCATTCCTGGTTTATTTACTTCCGAAATGGGACTTTCCAGGCAAATGAGCTACAACCAAGGTTTATCCAAACCTCAAGGTTGGTGTCAGATGACATGCTAAGCCAATCCATGGATTAGCACACTCAGGTAGTACGTGCCAGGACAACGGAGGACGAGTTCAGAAGCTGCCATCTCCGAACTTCCGGTCGGCGCCAGCGCTTAATGGCGGTCCTCCCTTCGAGCTCCGGAGGAGGACTGCTCCGCGAGTTCGGGTCTGACCTGCTACGGCGAGCGGGGGACCCCTAAAATCACAGGCGCGGAAGCCTGTGAACAAGGAGACTCGGTGGGCACCTTTTGCGCCCCGGTACTGTGAAAGAGCCTTTTTAAAGGCTACGGAGCGGCATCGGGGGTGAGCGCGGTGCTGAGAGTCGCAACCCAGCCCGTGGAGTGAAGCCGCGTCGCCATGAGCGGAGAGCGCCGATTCCTTCCTGAACCAGAAATTCGACTCTAAAGCCCGTGAGTAAGACGGAGGGACTGAAAGGGACATTTAAATTTAAATTTTGAAATTTGGCTGAAAACGGGAAAGGCATAAATTAAGGAAGTCTGCCTCCCGATCTGCATGGCAAGTAAAGCAACGAAAGAGTAAAGCTGCATTTGAAAGAAAATTACCTTTAAGCTGTCAAACCTGACATTTGACTTAAACCTCCCCCAGTAAGCAGGAGAGGGGGAAGAAAATTGGACACTGTTAACCTGCTTGAAATTAAATGAGGAAAAAAACATCTTCCATTGCCAAACCCCAGGACGGACTGCCTGAGTAAGGCACCGGCAAAGTGAACTGTCAGTTTAGACTGGATACAAAGTTGGGGTCTTGTCTGAGACAAAGTTACGGGACTTTAATGGAATTACTTTGTTGAACTTGTGATTTACTGAAAAAAGTGCGACAGAAACTTTTACTGTGGACTCTTGGACTTTTTTTTGTTGATTGCTCTGTGCTTCCTTGTTTTTTCTCTTTTCACTTGGATACAATTAAATGCTCCCTCTAGAGGGTATAAAGAGAAACTGTTACAGTGAAAAAGAAACAGTGGGATTTTCCACTTGCAAGTTTTCCTGTGAGAACGACCTTGAGGATATGAGTGGCCCAGCAGAAGAGATAACAACTAGATCCAAAGCAAAACAGACACAAAAGAAAAGGGGCTCAATACCCGGCATACCACCAGCTGCACAGGAAAAAGTGGCAACAGCATCTATGGATTCAATGACACAGGCACTGCTCAAAATAAACCAATCTTTAGAAGCACTGACAAAGCTATCTACGGAAAATTCAAAAAAATTGACAGAACTGACAGCAAGATTGGACTTGAATACTGCAAGTGTAACATCTAATACAGAATCTATTAATAAACTAATTCAAGAAAGTTCTGAAACACGAAAGATTGCTGAAAGTGCAAAAATACTGCGGAGGAGACAAGGCAGGAGCTTGTGCCGATTACAAAAAAGTGAATGAACATGATGCAGCTCTATCTTTGTTGGAACTACAGAGAAAGAGAGAAATTTGACACTGAGATTGGTTCCCGAGAGTGAGGGAGACAGCCTTGTGGATTTTCTTACACAGAACTTTATGGAATTCTGGCAAGAGGAGCTGCAGGAAGAAGAACTTGAAATAACAACAGCTTTCCGGCTCGGCAGGAGGCAGGGTAAGAAGCCAAGGGATTGTTTGATCACATTGAGATCCAAAGGAGAAAGAGATAAGATATTGAATTTGCATTATCAAAAGGCATTGGAGATTGAAAATAGTCAAGTACAAATTTTTAAAGATATCCCTAAATATATTTTGGAGGTGAGAGCCTTCTATAAAGATTTGGTCTACCTGCTGAAGAAAAATATCATACCCTTCAGGTGGGAGTTTCCACAAGGATTGTCTTTTACTTTCAAAGGAAGGAAGGTTAAAATAAGAACAGTTCAAGATAAAGAACAGTTTCTGGAGAGATATCAGGAGGACTTGCAGAAAGGAACAGTAGAAACAACAATACAAGAAAAAGGAGTGACAGACATTGCAAACTTGTCATTTGGACTCATACCATCATCTGAAGAGGAACAAAAGCTAGGAGCAGTCGGAGGAACAGGTACTTAATAACAAAATGTCTCTGCAACTTCTTAGCTGGAACTGTAATGGTTTGAACCTTCCCGAAAAAGACGCCAAGTTTTTCATATTTTGAAAAGAGAACAATTAGATCTAATATGCCTACAAGAGACTCATGTGACCAGGACACATCGGAAATTATTGGTAAATAAGAGACTTGGACAAGAATTTATTTCATCAGATAAAGTTAAGAAAAGAGGCGTGGTGATCTATGCAAAAGAAAAATTGGCTCCAAAGATGATATTTAAAGATGAACAAGGAAGATACCTGGCAATTGAAATACAAGTTCAAGGAGAAAAAATTTTGATAGTTGGAATCTATGCACCAAATGATGGGAAGGCGGAATTCTTTAAGAAGTTGCATGAGACTTTAATGGACTATTTAGACTACAGAATTATAATGATGGGAGACATGAATGGCGTAGTTTCCACAAATATGGACAAAGCACAGAGACAAGTAATTTCCAAGGAGGGAGACTACCAAAGACTTTTTTTGAAATGACTGAAACTATGGACTTGATTGACATTTGGAGAACAAGGAACCCTCTTGAGAGAGAGGGAACTTTTTCTCTGAAGCAAAAATGACATGGACAAGAATTGACCAAATTTGGGTAACTAGCAGTATGGCGCCAAGGATTAAAAAGGTAGAAATCTGCTCAAAGACTTGCTCCGACCATAATGCTGTAAAGATGGAGATGAAACTTACAACAACTGGATCCTTCAGATGGAGAATGAATGACACCCTATTCAGAGATGAAGAGATTTATAAGAAGGCCCAAAAACAGTGAAAGATTATTTTGAGATAAATTTGAGAACAGAAGTGGAAAAAGAATAATTTGGGACGCTAAGTAAGGCCGTGATGCGAGGTTTCCTAATACAACAGAACTCCATAAAAAGGAAAAATCAAAATGAAAGGAAAGAAAAATTTTGGAAAAAATAAAGAAGGTGAAAAGAAATTGAGGTCTAAACCA